AGGGTTAAAAATTATTACACTGTGTATTAAATATGTGGTGCAATAGTCTCTCTTACAGCCGTTCTTTGAATAATATTTGTGTCATCATGTACTCCTGCACACAAGCTCATGAAGAGGAATAAAATCACAACACAAAGAGCAACTGCAAGGGAGACTACTTGAGCAATGGTCAAATCTTTTATGAGACAACGATGGCAGTGATGTATGAAAAATTATTTGGATCATGAATGAAGCTGTGATATTAAACTGTATTAACACAATTTTTGTATTGAAACAAACAAATTTTTTTTCATACCCCCTCTTTAAAGTGATAAATTTATTTCATACCCCATCCAGATCCCTGAAAAAAATTTCATACCCCATCCCAATATCTTCTGCCCCAGGGTAGCACTTACTTTATGACCACTCCCTAAGGTAAAAGTAATAAATAGATGTTGTCAATGTCTGCTATAGACAGGCAAGGACAGATGGCATCATAGACAACCAGAAGACATGTCTTCTGGATTGTCTATGATGGCATTAATCATAAGAAAAGCGTTCATTAATGCCAAAGGGTGAACAGTGCCAAGTTTGGATATGAGGCACATTTCATGTCGTTTGTGGCTATCATTTGTATGAACTATTTTTGGCATGTTGTAAAAAAAATAAAAATTATTGTATTGCCATGGCAACACTGACATAACCGTGAGTCTGCATTCAGTGTTGTAATAATAATAATAATAATAATAATAATAAATAAATAATACTTTATTTCTCTGTCAGTTTACATCTACAATCTTGGACATAACTGGTTGAGACTATTTTCCCCCTATAGAAAATTCGCGTATTTTTATGATAAACTCCATTTTGAATCATGTTGCCATTCTTAAACCCCCGCTCCCCCAACTCAATGTTGAGCTTGTATCATGGTATATTACCAAAAGTTGTTTTGGCGTTATTCACAACATTGATTAATAACTTTGTAATATTAGCTGGAATGGTCTCATGGGTTTTGTCCAAGATTGTCTGAAACACACTGAATTTAAATGTGCATGATAACTCAATCTTTTTTAATTTCTTCCACTCCAGTAGTCTGAATAATGGATATACATGTTAATACTTGTTTTTCGAGCAATATATATATTTGTTTGCATGAAAAGCAAGCAATATAATGCCTATTTGAACTTGTCACATCCTAAATTATACGCATGAATTTTTCTTGTTGTAGGGCATAGAGGTCGAGACACATGCATTGGGATTTAATTCAATTATGTAAATATCACGTTCAAGTGTTGCTGTATATCGGTATTTTTTATAAGAGACGTCATTTGTTCTATAGTTTATGAGCCTCGAACTTGCTTTTAAAACTTATGATTTACCTCGATTTTTTTTATATGACGGTTAACCAAGTATAATCTTTATCGTGGTTTGATAAAACAACGGTAAACAGGCCATTACAACGGTAAACGGCGACTCCAATTTAAAACAATGACTAGACCTATCATTTACTATAAAATCTTGCTGCTATCCCCGTTTACCATTCATATCACATCAAATCTTTTCGTTAATCGTTTGAAATGTTCTTATATATTATTGTAAAAGGTTTCTGCTCCAAAAGTCATGGCGATATACTCGCATTTCTTTACTATGGCCAATTTGAACATTGTACAGGCGACCCTTTGTTCCTCGTGGGGGGTCGCCATACTATAATAACCTGTGAAAAGTGCCGATTGCCTATATGAAAGTAGCTGTGTAGACAACGCTTAGCATGTCCATGATTCCATTTCTTTTTAAACTCTGTAGCTATGTTCTATAGCAGTAGCTAATTGGTTCAAATGGACCAGGGAACGTTCACACGTTAGAGTGAATAGCCGTTTTCTGAGCAAACCATGTTATCAAGTTTGACCAATTCGGCTACTTTTAGTGTTGGATATGTTTTTACATTCACTATACGAGGCTTTCAATGATGATATGAAATAAGGTAGAAATCAAGTTTACCAAAAGTCCAGTAAATAATTTACTTTCATCCAGACGTGTATTATGTCCTCCTAATTAATTTCCATTTACTTACAATATAAATATAGATTTTGCAACGCCTGGAACGATTGCTAATATGTATAAAAATTTCGGTTACCTACAGTACTTGCAATGTAACATATATTTAATAATTTTTCCTCCATCGCAACACTAACCGATCTGCCTTTCTAACCATAACTCTCAAACAATTGGTATGCTTGTAAAATTTCCACATTCAGACAATCTTGGACATAACTGGTTGAGACTATTTTCCCCCTATAGAAAATTCGCGTATTTTTATGATAAACTCCATGTTGAATCATGTTGCCATTCTTAAACTGGGGGGAGGGGTAGACAAAGTTTGTTTTGCCAATGTTTAATAACTTTGTAATATTAGCTGGAATGGTCTCATGGGTTTTGTCCAAGATTGTGGGTTAGACAGTATTTTTTGGCTGAATCACTTCCCAGGACATAAATAACATAATATAATTAGAGAACATATAAAGATGGATTATTACACATGATTTGCAAAGTAAAATATCCATAATATATTATATAAACTAGTAAAATATAGTATAACATACAATATAGCATACTATACAATACTTATATAATATAAAATACTTATTTATAATATTTTATATATTCAAATACACACACTTCTTTGTACCTTCAAGGCATAACATCTCCCTGTCTTTCAGCAATCACCAAATGTGTAGGATGCTTTATATATTGAACACTTTTGTACAAGAACTTTGCCAATTTTAGAATAATTTGCTATGAAAGAGCGTTAAACTATAAAGCAATATGTAAGAACGTAAGAATTGTGTATCATTGACAAAGGATAACCTAATACTATTGACACCCAATCAGATCTCAAGAAATTCGGCCAACCGTAAAGCTAAAAAAACTAACCAATGACAACATTGTAGCTATTTTTTCGCAGAGGTCCGCCTCGTAGTATTTTGCATAAAAATGGCAAAATTTGCCTTAAAATTAAAAATTATTTTTGCATTGTTTCTGCTTGTAATACTACAATACTATTGCGAAAAAAGAAAATGAAGTAATTGAATGGCATTAAAATGGAAAGGGTTGTATGATAGTGGAAAAAAATACAGCAAAGCATGGGAAAGTAAATTTTCCTGGGTTTCTAAAGCTTCAGACGGCACTGAAAATGCTTTCTGTAAGCTGTGCCATACTACAATTAAGCTTAAAACCTCGAACTTGACGAATCATGAAAAGAGTACAAAGCACATGCAACGTGTCAAGCTTTCAACAACAATGAAACCTATTCAAGTCGTACGTACCCCAAGAGCTTGTGATGAACTAAAGACCACCGAGATCAAGTTAGCAGTCTCAGTTGCTTGTCATTCTGCCCTTTTAACGATCGATTATCTTGGAAAGGTTATTTCCCGTAATGCCACAGGGAGTAAACTTGAAGACTTGAAGCTACATCGATGGAAGTGCACTAAAATCCTGACAAATGTTGTGGCCCCAGCGCTTAAAGGAGAGTTAATTGCTGATGTGAAAGGGAGGAAATTTTCGCTTATTGTGGATGAAACTATGGACTACCAAACAACTGTGTGTCCTCATCCGATATTACAGCCAAGCCAAAGAAACGATCCTTACTGCGTTTGTTGATCTGGTTTCTCTCGTGCATACTTGTGCAGACGATATTTTTAACGCCATTAAAGAATGCCTCGCTGGAATAGATCTAAAACTGGAGGACTGTGTCGGATATGGTAGTGACGGTGCTTCGGTTATGGTTGGTGAGCATGATTCAGTTTGGACGAGAATATTGGCTGTCGCTCCAAACTGCATCAAGATGACATGCATTTGCTATTCGTTGGCCTTGTGTGTACAGCATGCTTTCGAGAAGCTTCCCTCGAGTCTTGGGTTCCTTCTGGCCGAGATCCCCAAATGGTTTTCGAAAAGCACCATCTGTAGAGAGGTTTACAAGACACTGTACGAGTTGATGAGTCCCGACAATGACCAAGCGCCCCCTTTTGAAAAGTATTCGAAGACAAGATGGCTGGTTAGGGGAAAAGTTATTTTTAAGATCCTCATGAATTGGGGGGAATTAAAAGCCTATTTCATGGTTGCACAGCCAGCAAGTACCCAAAGTGCACGGTATAAGGCGCATCTTCTTCTGGACATGCTGAAAGATCCAACCATATTGCTGTACTTTCATTTTGCTTCTCCCCTCGTTACGGAGTTCAAAAGGGTTAACGCCTTCTTTCAAGCCACTGAAAGCGGATCCTGAAGAAATGCACAAAGAACTGTTGGAACGTGGCAACAGTCTGCATGGAAGAGTTTGATGGACAAGAAGACCCCTGGCTATTACGAAAGTTGATTTTGGAGGCAAGTTCGAGTGGGAGGCTGCAAAGTACATTTCTGCCCAACGGAACAAATTGACTGCTGAAGCTAAAGTCCTTGAGATAAAGAAACGATGCCTTGAGTTCCTTCTTGAAGCCGTAATTCAGGTGGACAAACGACTTCCTGCTACATGTGACCTGTTCAAAAACCTGAGTGCCTTACATCCAAATAAAGTGTTGGATGCTTCACAGAGAGTTCCTTACAACCAGCTCCCACTTTCCCATCTACGTCAAGAGAATGCAGACATAATAGAAGAGCAGTACAGGAAAATCCTACACCGTCCATGGAAAGAACCTATTTTGGACGGCACCATACCCGACAGCACCATCCAATTTTGGTCTTGCATCGTCAATTTCCAAAGTTCTTTGGGTCACAAACTGTTTGAGGAGTTGGCTACCTACTTACTGAACTGCCTGACGAATCCTGTTAGTAATGCGGTGGTGGAGAGAACATTCTCTTTGGTGACGTCAGTAAAGACCAAAGTACAAAATCGTATGGGACTAGAACTGCTAAATGCAATTACCAGAAGTCGCAGTCAACTGCAATTCAGCTAAAACTGCTGTATAAGTTTTCAGGTATCGAAGCACATGCTCGAGTTGTTTACTTGCAAAAAGATGTACAGCAATGAAAGCAAACGTGCACAAGACGATGAATGATATATGTGGCGGTTGTTATACTTGTTAGTTGACTTACAGTATATTAATAGACTTAATACGTTTTTATAATTCATTTTTGAAAACTGTGCAACAGTATAACACGCATATTTTTCGCTGTTTATTATTAACTAAACAAAAAAGTTGGAAACGTTTAAAATATAGTTTAAAATTTGCTGCATGCTTGCAGCCAACATTTTGTATCATTTGAATTTTTTCACCTATCGACATACTGCACTTATAGAAACCTAGAGATAACCTGACCAATGTAAGTCGAAAATATTGATGGGATTTGGCCTTTTTTTGGCTTTTTTCAAAAAATGAAATTTGGCCTAATTTAGTACAATTTGGCCTGTTTTTAAAGGTCATTTGGCCTTGTGCATGCGCGAAAGCCTACCAACCTTGTATAAAACATGGTTGCCATTTCGTATTTTTTCTACAAACTTTTGTTGGTCGACTTCAGTGTAATATTTTATGTTTACACTAAAGAAGTTATGCTAACAAAAAGTCCTAGAGTTTCAACAGAATGCACAATTGCAAATATTTTGCAATTTATGGAACATTACAACAATGACACTGTCACAGTGATATGAAGGTAAAATCAGTGATGTTGAAACTTGAAAATAATTTGGATTGTTTATATGAGAGACAGGTAATGTAAGGATCAATTCCTGCGGTTACCATCCCCCCAGGGCAATACCCCCGGGATTTGTATTTTTTTTGCAAGAATGTAGTAAATTCCCCACCCCCGGAACTTTAAAACTTGATAATTCCCCATCCCTGGGCGTCGCTAAAAAACTAAAAATAAGAAATATCAATAAGCAGTTTATAACACACATTTTTAATATCCCTTGTATAAACATACAAAGAAAAAAACACCCTTTGTGTCTTGAAAAAAGAAACTTTTTCATTAAAAAATCTGTGATTTGAAGCTCGATTTGAACAATGGGATGGTAACAACAAGAATTGATCCATGCATAAGTTTCAGTTGTGCGTCTTCATATGGCACAGAAATGCCAACTTGCAAAGTAAAATCGTGGTGTTTATGGACATCTGAGATATGCTACCGGGTGGCCCAAAAAAAAGTACTCCTGTTTGATTCGTAATAACTTCTAAACAAGTAAAGTTTTTAAAGAGAAATAACTTGCATTAAATAGAGGAAGGACTAACTTAGATTTTGATATATTACAGTTTTATTTAACTTAAAAATTCACGGAGATATTAATGTTAAAAATGGGGAGCATATTTTGGAATGTGTCTAAAATTAGCGAAAATCGGCATATCAAATATTAACTCAAGCGTTTGTTTGCTTAATGACATATTAGGCTAACTTGTATTTCAGCGAATTATCGTTAAGGTTTGTAAGGGATATGGCGTAGATTTAGACATCTTACATGTAAGTCTTAGCTCATTGTTTCCTGAAATATGAAAGTTCGAAATTATGCAAGTATTTAATATTAGGTCTTTGCAAACTTAAATGTACATGAAAGACTGACCATGGAAGGCAGGCGCTTAAATTTTTCGTATTCTGAAATAGCCTAATTTTTTTATGTTTTTAATGGGTTCAAACAGACTGAGTAGATTATTTCTCGGTTAGAGCAGGATGAATATTCTTTATTGAAAGAAATAATATTGCTTTTTGCAAATACACATCACCGTATCAACGCTACTATTTTGTTACGTTTTGTTCCAAAAATGTTGCATGTCTCTGGGGAGTTGCTTAATTGTTATGTCTTATGGAGTTGTATGGTTTGATTGTGTTTCATATAATTCTCAGTTTACTCCATGAACTTGCAAAGATTAAGAAACGGCAAAAGAGTTTGGGTGTTCTTAACAAGATTTCAGAACGTTGCAGAAGTTAGAAGAGCTTCACAATTCCGTTGTGACAGCATGCCCTAATTCAGAACTACGAACGATCCAATGACGATCCTTCGCGATGCAGTGGTCTCATGAAATAAGGAAACGTATTCGTGCTAGGAACACACGTGAATTTCGGACGAATGAATCTTGCTTGTATTTTGTAGATATAATAATACTTTGTTTCATAATAAACAATTTGTCAAGTGTCATTTATTTACTGGTAATAGTGCATGTTTCAGTCGGGCAAATCTTGATTAATATTTGATACGCCGATTTTTGCATATTTCAGACACATCCAGAAATATCCTCCCGAATTTAAAGATTAATATCTCCGTGAATTTTTAAGTGAAATACAACTGTAATATATCAAAGACTAAGTTAGTCCTTCCTCTATTTGATGCAAGTTATTTCTCTTTAAAAGCTATACTTGTTTAGATGTTATTACGAATCAAACAGGAGTACTTTTTTTTGGGCCACCCGGTATAACATAAAATAAAAGTATGTCTTTTGGATGTAAAAGACTAAAAAAATTATCACATCCAAAATGTTTTGTTATCTCTTTACAAAATATAACCAAAATGGGTAAAATATTTGCTATTTTTGGATAGGCAGTCATATTCAATGGGGCCAACAAAACAACATTTTGGATGTGAATTTAACTTTTTTGTTATTTTTAGGTTAAAGAAAGATAACTTACTAAAAAAAACTTATAGGATAATGGCAGTTAATCGACCTTGGTACAAACAGGGTTAAGTTTTTAAGTCTTATAAGGACGCCAGTCCTCTGACTTGCTTTCTTACATACATTATTAATATGTTCATTAAAATTCATACCATAATCAATAGTGACACCTAAACGTTTTAGGCTTTCAACAGGTTTGACATTATTTCCTTGAATTTGCAAACAAATATCCTCTCCCAGAGTATGATTTTTGTGTATCGTCATTGTTTTATGTTTATCATAGTTTTCTTTCAGCAAGTTGTTTGTATACCATTGAGAGGCTTTTTCTGCATTCATCGCGAGTTTCTCTTCTACTACTTGTAAATCCTCATCGGTTTCATATATAACTGATGGTCATCTGCATACATAGACATTTGTGATGGGATCTCATAGGTTAAATCATTCTGAAATATATTCCAGAGCAGAGGTCCAAGGGCGGATCCTTGGGGACACCCCCTTTGATAGATTTCCATGTACTTTTCGTTGATCCCATTTTTACTCTGTTTGAGCGGTCACCAAGGTAAGAACACAATAGATCTAAGGCATTTTTGTCGCAGCCATAAGCTCTCAACTTACTGAGCATTAATGGGGGGTGAAGAGAATCAAACGCTTTGCTCATATCAGTCGATAATATGGCAACATTACGATGATTGTCTTTCACTAAGGGTGGTCTCCCAGCTATGGGATTTACGATATGCAGTAATGCAATGATTCAAAAGGTGATCGGATTGTTTTGTCAGTTGCTTACCAACTACCTGTTCGAAGACTTTATCAACTGGGGGAGGGCAGTTATTGGTCTATAGTTGCTCTTTTGTTGTGGATCTTCGCTTTTAAAGATAGGGTGCCATTCCCCTCTTTTCCAGTTTTGTGGCCATTTTCATTTCGTATACAAAATTTATACAAGATAGTTAATGGTTTAACATGTTTGTTTGCACCAAATTGTACCAGTTTGGCTGGGATGGCATCATACCCGGTTGCATTCCTTGTATTTAGTAAGTGTAAGGCATTGTACACCTCTGAATTAGTAACAGATTTTATGCTTATTGTTTCATTGTTAAAGAAGTGTTCTGTTGTAATCCTAGATACACTAGGATGACCTATATAATCGTCTATCAAGTAAAGTTTAGCCATATCACCTCCAGTATCGTCAGCAATGGTTACAAAATAGTCTACTAAGATCTCAGCAACAGTGTTCTGTTCAGTAATAATAGCATTGTCAACTTTCAAGTTTATTTCAAAGTTTTTATTAAAAGTTTTTTTTCCCTAAAAATGGCTTAAATGTTTGAAATATTTTTAGTGTTTACCTTGAGATCATCTGCTTTACTTTTCCAAAACTCTCTTATGGCAATTCGTCTTTGTCTAGTTGCTTTGTTGCGACATTTTTGTTTCAATTCCCAATTTGCTGCTGTTTTATCCCTATAATATCTTACCGAGGCCCTTTGTTTTGCTCAAATTGCGTTTTGTCACTCCATCGTCATGTAAGGGACGTCCTCCACTCGCACTTTCTTCATCAGGCAGCATGCATTTGCTATGTCGTTCATCATTGTGGTCCAGTAATATTCTTGATCGTCGACATCGTCAAATAGTTCACTAACATGCCATGGTGCAGTTGATAAAAGATTTTGATATTCAGTTAAGTTAAAGTTTTTGTAACTCCTAAAAGTAATGATTTATGTGGGTACACTCTTACTTTTTCATTTATTATCCCATATATTAACATATGATCACTCAGAGCAGGATCATAAATACCACTTCTCATCAATAGATCAGGTTTGTTTGTAAGTAGAATAGTTCCTGATGTACTCACTCGCGTCGGTTCTTTAACCCACTGAGTTGCATTGCACCCTGATGCACCCTACTTTATTATTACTTTACTCTGTCTAACGCCAGACGATTTTACTCATCAAGGGGAGAGCGCTGACACTTAATGGGTTAAAGACATGTTATGTGTCTCGTTAACCCATTGAGTCGCATTGCACCCTACTTATCTTTACTCTGTCTAGATCTTACGCCAGGCAATTTTAATACTTGTCAAGGGGAGAGTGCTGGTGCTTAATGGGTTAACAAGACACTCAAAACCTTGTTTGGCTTCTAGATCTAGTAACAGTTTTCCTTCACTTCTTTGGGGCCTCAGTCTGTCAAGGTTAAGATCACCGATAACATTGACGGAGGGTTCCTGGACGGAAGCCCAGTTACAAATGTGGCTCAACTCTTCCTCCAGCAATAGCTGGTAATTTACTGATAAGGGTATTACAAAGATGTATTTCTAGTAAGCTTTCTACCAATATGCAGTAGTGTTTTGTAAAACGCAAGTGGTAGAT